TCTTCTGAGGAATTCTTCCTTTTTGTAGTTTTCCCCTCTCTCACAACTTATAATAAATTTATCTTTCCTCCTCCTGATCCCATTTGTGGTATCAAAACGAGTAGTAATAACAATAATATCATGTAACTTACTAATGGGTTGTGATTATGCTAACACGTCAGCTCAGTAGGAAATACCTATCATTTACAACATATAAAGAATAAATTATCAATGTCAAAGATGCCAAAAACAAAATAAATTTTGAACAAGTTAAAAACATACAACGTTAATGGTGAAAAACTGCGTAAAATCTCCAGAGGAACCATCGGAATTTGGACTGTACAAATGAAGCATTATGAACTGTCGAATTTTTTGCACTAGGGTAAAAATCTGGTATGTCGACATTTTCAAAATATCCGAAAGTTTTTTATGTTTCCCGAATTCTTTGAAAGATTTGGTAGGCAATATATGATCTTTTTGAAACACTAGATTTTTTTGAAAAATTCGATATAAATCTACCGAATTTTTAAAAAGTTCGGTAAAAATCCTCAGTAATTCCATATTTTTTTTAGAATATGCAGTATAAATGCACCAGTTTTTAAAAAAGTTTGGTAAAAATGCAAAATTTTTCCATAAATACTGGATTTTAAAAAAAACACGATCAAAACTCATAATTTCCACCCATTTTTGAAATTTTGCATACTCAGTTTTTTATTTTTACAGTTGTTCCAAAGTAAAATTTTTGACCAAATGAAATTTTTGGATAGGTAAATAATGAGAATGATATATTTGCCAATATAAAAATACGGGCGGTCGCGGCTAAAGTTTGGGGGTGGCAATACAAGTGTCATTTTTATTTCCCAATAAATCCAATTTAAATAAATGAGACATTACGACGGAGTTTGGATGACCCAATTTTCTATGTCAATTCTCATAAGAATTCAAAACATTATTATAAGCAAGAGATAAATGATTGGAAATAAACTGGAGTGAAAACAATCAGCCCATTTTAGGCCAATTCATAATCACATTTTTTGACACCTGCTCTTGCACAAGACAACTAGCACTAGAAAAGGTAACTTCATAGTTTTTATCTACCAATTAACCAATAGATAATAAATTGAAAGCAAATCTAGGTGATACGAGCACATTTCGGAAATCAGAATTAATGTCGTTAATATCAATGATAGATAAAATATTGCCATCAACTGTTTCAATTTTTTTATTACCATGATAAGATTGTAAATTATGCAAGTATTTTGAGGAACCTATCATGTGATCGAATGCACCTGAATCAAGAAATCTTGGGCGAGAAACATTAGAAGACTTACCCTGAATTCCCAAGACTGAAAGAGTAGAAAGTACCATTTTGTTGAATTAGTTCATGTTGTATAACATCACCGTTTGATGCGACACTAATGGAAGGATCAACTGCAAAATTTGTAGTTGCATAGAATGCTTGCATCAAACATTGTGTTGGTCGTAGAGGGCGCGTGAGACATTCAAAGATAATATGTCTTTGTTGGTTGCAATAATTACCAAACTTCTTATTGGAACTACGAGCAATATGTCCAAATTATTTTGAAGCGAAGCACTGAACTTGACTCATAGTACAACCTTTACCTCAACTTTGAGCAACATATGCAACCGTCATAGGCTCGGAAATGAGAACTTCATGAGACATGACTCTTTGAGTAATAAGACGTTGTTCTTCCCTTAGAAGTTCTCTAACACATGTTTATAAATAAGGATCTTGATTCATATTTAGTAAAGCACCTATGAGAACTTCAAATCTGGGTGAAACTTCATAAGAATAACCGAACTAGAGAAACCACGAAAGGCAGACATATTCACCGAGAACAAGCGAACACAAAGTCGAATCATCGAGATCACTGAAACAGAATCACAAAATCACATTATGCCAACGAGCATTGAACAACAATCAACAATTACCAAACCAAATTCAATCACAAATAAACAAATAGGAATCAATTGCGATAAACACCAAATCAAGATCATGAAGCATAAACAATGACAAAATCGCAAGATGGATTATCAAATATTCAAAATCCCAAGCAACAACAAGCTTTTGATTCATAAAGAAACGATTTCAAAACAAATACGAATGAGGAATACAATTTCGAGAGCGAGCCAGTGGAATGTTGCTGCTCAGCCAAAAAACAGAAGGATTCACATGTTTGATCAAATATCCATTTTTTTAGTGTGCACATGCGTCTAAATATTAACAGATATTTTTGGCCTAACTTTAATTTTAATTTAAAATAAAATACTTGTAAAAGACGAAGGAAGGAACGCGTGAAAAATAAACCAACATTCATTAGATTGAGACAAATCTAAATTTCCATGGATATAGATATATTACCTTTTTTCTTCTTTCAAATTTGCTACATGAAATTCAATTATACATTTTAAGTTTTGTTGGAAAAGTCTTCTCCACATTAATTGTTGTTGAAGGAGAAGGAAAAGTGACAGATAAAAAAAAAAGTAAATTAGGGAAGTTATTCAATATTTTAAATTTAAAAATGGTGAGAGAAGTTACTTTTTGATTTAAAATTATGTAACCGACTTCCACTTATTACAAATTATTCTTTTTTAAAAAGAGAAGAGTAACTTTGGAACAATAAAAGAACCACTCCAAAAACTTATCCCTTTTATATATAGATATAAATGTTTAAACAAATATATCTAAAGAGATTGACAATTTTAACCATGCTTATTTTGTATCTCATAATTATACTTCACTTCTATACTTATCACATTATACAACTAAATATTAATAATGATTTTTTTTAATTAACCTCTATATACTTTGTTTGTGATAAATTGTGAAAGGTGAATTGTCTAATAAATAAATGTAGAAATGAATGAAATTGGTAACCAACATAGGGATACTAAGTTACCGCTGATGAAAGAAATTGTCACTAATTTGGTTTTAGAAAAATGCTAACGTATATTCTACGGGTATATTTTAAATGTTTAAGAAGTATGTTCTTTTTGAAAATGTGTATATTTAATATTTTGAAAATTGAAATAATTAAAATTTAAAAAAAAAAATTTATTTTGAATCCTTGATGATTGTTTCTGAATTTTGTTTAATTCTTCAAATCAACCAATTTTGTAAGAAGAGTTTGGATTTGAAAACATTAAGTGGAGACAACCACTTCGAAGAAGTTCATGTATGACAGGTGTTCAAATTAAGTAAAACTTTATCATAATTGGACTTATCGTTGTTCTCTTAGGATGATATATTACAGTTACGAATAACATTTTCTACAATTATATATAATTTTTTCTTGAGAAACTACAATTAAGTAGTGTAAAATGGAAAAGACAAAAGTAACATAATACAATCACATATTCTCTGTTTATTTTTATAGATTAAGAGAGATGATATAAAAAATAGGAGTATTAGAACAACAAATATCACAAAAGAAGAAAAAATGAAGATGAGTGAACAAATGTTATGATCAATTATATTTATTTTTCTTGTCTGATTTCTCTCCCTCTCATATTTATTTTAGAATGTCTCTCTCAACAACAAATATGAGAAGTGGATATGTAAAAAAACAAACACTATGGTAATCATTTTAGTGTCTTCCTCAATTAATTAATAGTTTGGAGAACATCCAACGACACTTTATCCAACAACCGCAAAACACAGGTTAATAGTTCTCCTCTCACACATCTTATATACAACATTATAAAAAAAAACATTAATAAAAAAAAAGAAATGAATACTATCAATCAGAATACTAATCAGTACACTATCAATCAGAATACTAATCAGTACACAAAATAATCATATTATAAATATATTTTCAACACCATAATTTTAATATAAACCCAAGTCTCACTAAATATATTTATAAATTAATATATTTTAATTTTAAAAAAAAAATGTAAATGAGAGAGAAGATTAGTCCAAAAATTAGTTCGCTTCTGTTTGTTCACTAAATATATTTTAATATAAAACCTTAAACAATATTATGCGTCTCCTTAAAAAAAAAAACTACCTTAATGTAATTATAGTTTATATTTATAAATTGACTTAATATAAATATAGTTTTTCAAAATCATAAAAATATTTAAGTTTTTCTTTTTTCTTTTTATCTTAGTGATCATACTATATGTGTGTCAGTATTTCATACTGAAAAAAAAGCACAAAGGACACTCATCTTTATATGAAAACAAATTAAATTTTATGATTGCACTAAAATATTAAAAAAATTGCAAATGATGTATTGTTGTACAAAACATGGAAGGTATTTTTATATTGGATGGAATAACCACAACCACCTACCTATGCAGAGAAAAAGAAAGAGTCAATATGTAAATGAGAGAGAAAATTAGTCCAAAAAGGAAAGAATGAAATGTAGGAAAGAATGAAATGTAGGTTTATCTCTTAGTGAAAGTTATATATAAGAGTAAGTATCGAATAAAAATTGATTATTTAAGGATAAATATGGAATGAAAATAGGTCAGTCCAAAATGTTCTATCCTCTTTATATATAAATAATTATAGAAGTTATAGATTTCATAACATTTACGACAATTAATTATAAATACTATGTACTTGATTTTCTAGTCTATTATAAGAATGAGAAATATATTGAGGAATTAAATCATGTCAAAGCAACAAAGATTGCATTGCCTTCATAGCAATTGATAGAAACAGGTACCATGTAGAATTTGTAACTTAATAATAACAACTGATCTATTGAATAATTCTTTGGCAAAGATTCCCAAATCAGAGTCGACAATACAAACAAACAGACTTGCACAGAAAATAGATAATACAGACACAGTCTCCTCTAAGGATTCTAGAGCCTTGAAACTCTCCTTTTCCAGATTCCACTTTGAATGCTAAGATAACTGCCCCTATTCAGTTTCTTTCCCTTTTATTCTTACACAACACACATAACTAACTAGACATAGTTAGCTACAAACTCCTCATAGCAGTGACTTCCCCGTAACCGATTAGTCAAGTTTTATCAGATTTCTCACTTAAGATATTTATTAAACCAATCCAATAAGATTTGATGGGCTTCTTCTGCAGCCTTCACAGCTTCTGGATCTTCAGTGTTATACCTCAAAGTCCAGCCATGCGAAACATTAGGAAATATTTTCACAAAACTATCCACCTGCATAAACAAAAGGAGACAGACATGAATGATATATCTTAAAGGATATATATATATATAACAATGGTATATAACTACAAAAAGAATGAAAGATTCACTTACTCCATTTTTAGCAGCCAAGACTCGTTTAAATTGTTTTATAACCTTTGGAGGTGTGATTGTGTCAAGCCCAGCTCCAAGTATAGCAATCGGAACATTAACACCTGAAACGAAGACGAACATTGTTTGAACATGCAAATTTTGAAATAATTCAGACACTGAAAATTCATACCACGGATGTCATCTACTGTAATAGACGATGGATGTGCTAACACAACAACTTGACTGAGGTTGGATTTCCCAAGCTCACACACCGTCTTAGCTGATAGAAAAAAGATAAGTTAGTTGTATTGAAACTTATACAACCAATGTTACAGTAGCTAAGACTGTTTTATAATTGAAAGGCACTCACCGCCCCAACAAAAACCAGCAGCTCCAATAGTAGAGATTCCTTTACTCTTTAAGGCTTCAATTATAGGTTGCGAAGCTTTAAAACCTTTGTCCTATCAAAATTAATATGTAAGCACCAAAAATTATGTGTTACCAAAGTTCTGATAAGGATATATTGTTTAAAAGTACTAACTGGTCGATGTTGTTTCATCCAAATAGGTAAAGGTCTGTCAAGATTCTCCGGATCAAAGGGATCACCATTGAAGTAGTCAGGAAGCACCACATAATATCCAGATGCTGCAACCCTGTCAGCAAGTTTCCTTCACAAAATATCAAATTGTTGTATCAAAAACTCATTATCTATGAAAATAAACCATGTTGTACTAACATTTTAGATTGAAGACGTGTCAGCGTGCTGGATTCCGACACCAACGTAGTACTAACATTATGTTTGATTATTCATTATACCTTGTAATTGGGGCTTCATATCCAAAAACATCGGAGACGAAGAGAATGGCAATGGTCGAAAGAAGAGAGCCGGTCAGATAAACATCAACGCCGCCGAGTTTTTCAACATGGCCAACTCCACTAAAAGGGTCCAGAATTGGTGGATTAGAGTAGCAAGCAGGACCTGGCATGTTTGTTTCTTTCACTTGACTGCAATTCCCTCCAACACTCCTACATTTCTTATAACAATGTATGTAGAAAATGATAACATATTTTTATCATTATCATTGCTACTGTTATCATTATTATAAACATAAAAATTGACATCACTTTTGAGGTATATTTAAACCGGTGTTAACTACCAACACTATAGTTACCATCTCACATTACACCAACAAATATTTTAAAATGGAAATAGTACAATTATTGATATAGCAAATATTGTTGACTTAATAATTTTGTTTGTTTAACCTCATAGTTTTGTTGATAGATGCACTTCTCTCTCGCATGACGCAACATTTTTATTTTATTTATGTGTGAAAACATTTGGTTCATAAACAATTTGCTCATGTCATTATTAAAAACTTTAAACATTTGGTTCATAAACAATTTGCTCATGTCATTATTAAAAACTTTAAGACTACAAAGAAACTTTCTAAATTTGACCAATCTCCAATCAAGCAAGTTTTTAATAACTATATAACTCTTTAAAAGGATTCCTAATAACTAAGACTTTATTTTATATTTGTATAGAGACCACTTGTCATTACTTAAGACTATCATGTGAATTAGTTACAACTAATTCATCTGTTTTGAATAATAAAAGGTTACAGCTGCAATAAGTTACACTATATTCCATGATACATCAAGATATCATTCAACTAATGTTTAATTTTGTAGATCAATAAAAGATCCATAAAATTTTAACAGGATCCGTATGTATATCTTTTAAAGAATTTGTATGCTTTAAGGTTTAGGCACGAAACATTATGTTTCATGTCCTACTTTGTGTCAATTATGTGAAGGAGGTGTGGAAGATGAGTGCCATGTGTTTTTTGGAGGTTATTAACGTTTCAATGTTGGAATGTGACAGGTTTAAGTGATGTTATTACACTGCAGCTACAAAGGTTTAATGAAGTGAGGTTTCAATGTTGGAATGTGACAGGTTTAAGTGATGTTATTACACTGCAGCTACAAAGGTTTAATGAAGTGAGGACTATGTGAAGGTTGCAGGTAGAGTGGTGGTTGTGTTATGGGTGCTTTGGAATTATAAGAATAATTGAGTTGTGTTATCCGTGCTTTGGAATAATAAGAATAATTGAATTGTGTTATGGATGCTTTGAAATAATAAGAATAATTGGATCTAGAATAATAAAAAAAATGATGCGATTCAGTTGGACATGCAAGCATATCATATTTGAAAGAACGTGGTGTTATGGAGATTGCAACGATAGATTCATTATGGCGGGAACATCTTGGGACGTTGGTCTTTATACAACCATAGAAGCTGAGGCATTGACATTAAAAGAAGCTGTGCAGGAAGCCATTCATATGCAAATAGATCTTATTATTTTTTAGAGTGATTCTCACATGCTAGTTCAAGCTATTCATAGTATTAAGGATTTGTTAGATTTACATTTCGATTTTTTCGACTTTGAGGTAAAGTTTGTTAAATGTCAAACTAAATTGGTTGTCCATTTGTTAACTAAAGTGGCCAATTCTTAGACTAGGCATAAATTTCTCCATTTGATTCCTCCGCAACAATTGTTTATGAAATGAATTGAGTTTCATTGTGTAACAAAAACATTTATTTTGATTTCTAATCATCACCAATTATTGTCCTCTTTTATTGTTAACTACCAATGCATATTCTCACCACATGTAGCAATCTCAATAAAGGATGCATATAATTCACATGGAAGATTTTGATTAAACAATGATTTTCACTTTACATATTTGGCAAACCATTCTAGCAAAAGTCGATGGGACTCATCTGCAGCCTGTACAGCCATTGCATCTTCAATGTTGTACCTGATAGTCCAACCATGTGAAACTTCCGGAAATAACTTTACATGACAATCATCATGAAACAACAAAGTAGTTCATTAGCCATACCTCAACGAAAAAAGAATGTGAAAATTTATGTAAAGGGATCATATACTACCCCAAGTTCAGCAATTAGGAGTTGTTGAAACTGTTTGAGGAGTTCTGGAGGACAATATTGGTCTATCTCAGCTCCAAGTATTGCAATTGGAATGCTAACTCCTTAAAGTAGCACCAAGTGTTAACTTGTAAGTTATGCGCTGCTAGAATAACAACTAGTAACAAAAGAGAAAATAGAAACATAAGTCGCAAACAATAGACACGGTATTTGTTAACGTAATTTGGCCATGTGTGTCTACTCCCCGACTACAAGGCAGTTGTAGTTTCGTCTTATTATTTGAATGAATTAGAGTTTCAATATTACAAGTCATATAAGTAATACTACGGTTTATATTACAAGAATACTCTTACACCATACAGCCTCGCGGTGCTCTGCTAGTTCGGCTCCCACGCCTTAACCCTTTGTGTGATTATGAGCCATATTCAACCTGTACTAATGTACATATTACTTTTAGCAGTTTAAGAATCAACCATTATGGTCTTTCAGAATTGATAAGCAGTGAACTAAAAAATGATTTTTTGTCCTCACACATAATTTTGTGAATAAAACATAACCAAAATCAAGCACACGAAAAAGAATATGATATCGATTGGTGGAGTATTTATGCTGTGACATTTTGCAAAACACGTCTGATTTTAATGTTGCATAGAAAAGAGATTTCTAAGTTCATTAATTTGTTAAGAAATGGCAATCATCAAATATCATTTGCATGTAAAACTTCTTACCCTTGATGTCGTCCAAGGTGATAAATGATGGATGTAGTAGTACAGCAGCTTGGATTAATTTAGGCTTGGCAAGTTCTACAACAGTCTTGGCTAATAAGTTAAAGTGAAATGAAATATGAACACCAATCAATCACCTCAGCAATTAAGCAATATACATTTGTATTGTAAGTTCATTTATCTATCGGTCTCGCCAAATCCAAGTATTTGATCATAATCATATATTTGATGAACCAAACATGCTATTACAACAAATAAAAACAAAAAGAAACACCACCGGAGTCTAGCGCAAGTGGTTGGTGCGCAATGTACAAGTGTTGTAAAACTAAATTCTGAAGTAGGATGAAGATAAGTAGGAACTGGGAACTCACCACCCCAGCAAAAAGAGGCAGCTCCTATAGACAAAACACCTTTGTGTTTTAAAGCTTCAATTACTGGTTTTGCATCTTCAAAAGCTTCATTTTGTTAACATAACCTTTGCATTTTAAAGCTTCAAATTCTAAGCAACCACACAAATTATATGTTCACAAAGAATATGTAATCTTTGAAATAAAAAAAGACTACTGGTTGATGATCTTTCAACCAAACAGGTAGAGAGGTCTGTTAGCATTCTCAGAGGGAACCACTACATAATACCCTGTAGCTGCAACGTTGTCTGCAAGTTTTCTTTTCAACAGAAGCAGAAGAGCTCAAATTTTGCATCACGACTAATAGAACATGTGCTTTTTCATTGAGTTCAACTCTGTATTAAGGACCATTTTGAAAAGACAGACATTAAAATCATCCATACCTTAGATTCGGAGCTTCAAATCCTGCAGAATAAGTTGACCACATATTCATGAATAAAAGTAGACAGTAGTACATCATAGAATAAGGCATGATGATGATAAATGATAACCCAAGTTCTAATAAGGGGAAGAGTTTTAAGGTACCAAAAACTTTAGAAACTATAAGAATCGCAAAGTTGGAGTTGGAGGGACCGGTGATATAGGTGTCTAGACCACCGAGTTTTTCAACATGGCCTATCCCTGACTGAGTTTGGGTTGAGGATTGGTGCGTTTGAGCAGCATTCAGGACCTGCCATTTTTCTTCTGTAATGTAATTTCTTCAAACGATGGCCTCATTTTCTCTTTTTTCGGATTTATAAATAAACCATCAACTAAGATGTTCATTAGATTGTGATTTTATGATAAGACTTTCTGAGTTTACTGCTTATTTATTATTGAGGTAATGACTGAAAGCAACATAATCTTTAGAGAGGAAAATATATGATTAATAAATTTTCTTCAGTTTTCAGCTTGAATCATCACTGACGTTCTGTTGATTGCTGGGAAGACACGGTCAAAATGATTGTTTATTTCATCACCTTTGCAGAGTTTCCATTCATTCACCATAGAATAAACAAAGAACATATAAGTTGATTAAAACCAGATATTTAAAATATAAGTCTTAAATTATGATTTCTTAATATTACAAATTACAACTGTTCACAGGAAGAAACATTAAATTTTTATCATGTATACACGCTGCTGAATTTATCTATAATCTGTGTCCAATACGAAACAATACAGCATTTATTTTGTGGTAAACTGAACATTGTGGAACGCACAGCATGTTGAATACTGCACTTCAAGTACACACGTAGATAGAGACGATATCAACTGACAAAGATTTCTCACTTGAGATGTTTAGTAAACCAGTCCAGCAAGTCCTGATGTGACTCCTCTGCAGCCTTCACTTCTTCTGCATCCTCCGGTTTGTATCTCACAGTCCAACCATGTGAAACTTTAGGAAATATTTTCACGAAACTTGTCTGCACAAGAAATAGGTACATGAATCACTAGTATTTAAAAAGGTGAATAAACTAAGTAAAACAATTTGACTAATTGTATATTCTTGTAACTAACAATAGGTGCGTGCGCGCGCATACGTAAGAACCAAAAAAGAATATGAGATTAAAACATGAAGGATGGCACATAACCATGGACTAAAGAAAAATTAATCTGACCACAGAATTAGCAGTAAGGATTTCTTCAAACTGTTTCACAAGCTCTGGAGGGGAAAGTCTGTCAATCTCAGCTCCAAGTATAGAAATTGGAATGTCAACACCTGAATTTAATATGAACATCTCGGTCGTTAAGAAATATGTTTCTACTACTTCTGCTTTGTTTTATTCAATCGTTGCAACATGAAAACTGACTTTAGTTAAAAAAAATTGAAAAAATTCATACCCTTTATGTCATCCACAGAGACAAATGATGGATGCAATAGCACAACAGCTTCAATAAGTTTGGATTTCGCGAGT